TATTTAATTTTTCATGGGAGATAAAACACAATCTACATGGAATACCCCTTACATGTATAATGGGGTTTAATGGGTATCAATGATACAATGTTTAAGTACCCCAAGACAACATAGCACCAGCATTGAAAAAAAAAGTTCTTCTGTACATTTGGAAGTTTTAAGCTCTGTAGCTCCTACTATGCCATAAATACAAATCATTTATGTTTCCTAAAGAGAAAAGGCATAATTTTCATTGTAACAAATGGTTGGACATTTACACACAATGGCTACTCTATATGTAAACCTGTAGCTTTGAGTATTATAGTAAGCTTATTTCTGGTCTTGTTTACACATTCTCCTCGATATATTTCATTGGTTCAGCCCATTCGACTAATCTTCTTTGATTTATCGGCAGGTTTATTTGGCGGCGGAGAATCTGCAGCAATATGACGGCCATATAAACTGAAAAAAAGTAAATTTAATATTTCAAGTCTGCATTTGAAAATCTCTGACATTTTACATGCACATAGATTTAAACTAAAACTTATGAACTGTTTCTGCAATTAATAAATCTTTCAAAAATTTAACAACGAATATGCAATGAGACATTACAAGTGAAACTTACAATCTATATGTTTCTGATCTTATATAGTCAAACACATGGGAAACGCCCACTTGGTATTGGTCAGCTATGGGTGTCACCCAAGGGTTGTTTTCTCCACGGAATACCTGTTTAGATCCCACTAGATCTAAATTACCTGTAATCAAAATCCACATAGTTAGACAATACATGAGTGACTTAAACTGTACAACAATTAGATTCAAAGCAAGAGAACAAAGGCAACAAAGAACATTTGACTCTGACAAATATGAAAAGAAATTCCTCATAATTATTTCCTGCTAATCCTAAATATGGATAAAAACAAAACAAATACTGTATACAGGGAAATTTTCACCCGTTTTGCTTTTGCCCCTTTTGCCCTTCCCTCATTTGGGGGAATTTTAAAAGGGGGACAATTCAAATCACACTATCACAGGGAATTGAAGACATCTACCTATTTCTGGTGGTAACACTGTCAGTCTGTTTCCCTGTATGTGTAATTCTCTCAGACGAGGCAGATCTCCCACTTCCTTTGGTAATGCTACTAAATCATTCTCTCTCAAACATAGCTGATATCAAACCAATGAGATAATGTTAATATAATCTAAAAGGCACCATCAAAGAAAAAGGACAATCGAAATAATGAATTTTTATTGACATTAAAGATGATTTCCTTACTGATTTACTATATTTAAATTCAGTAATAAATACATCCTATTAAAAATGGCTTTTGATGTACTTTTGTGTTGTACTTCTTTGTAAATACTTACGATTTGCAGATTCTTTAGTTTTCCTATTTCTGGAGGCAGGTATTCAAAATCATTGTCTCCAAGATAGAGTGCCCTTAATGTGTCTGAAAAAAAAAGATTTTACAATAAATCTTCTATATTCATATATCTACTATAGCATTTTGAAAATATTTGATCTTACCCAAACAAAAGAAATTTCCAGGGAGGGACTTTTCACTAAGGTTGTTATATGTCAGATCCAGAACCTCCAGGGCTGGGAAGGCACCAAATCCACGAGGTAACATGTTCAACTTATTCATTCTAAAATATGTGTAATAAGCCATTACCATTTCATACATACTCTGGTTTACTTAATTACAAACAAGTAAGGTCTTTTAAAATAGCAAAACCCCTTCATCTAAACATCTACTTTACCAGTATATTGACTTTAAAAGTGTTAAATCAGACAAATTATCAAGACTCAGAAAGTCTCTCAAAAACTTGTGTGACAAATCCTAGTTTATCCATGCACAGCTCAGTAATCAGAAGAATAGCACATAAGTATGACAAATGTAGAAAAGTTGTCAACACATACCCAACATTAAGTATCTTCAGTTTCATTAAGGAATTTAAGGTGCTGGGAAGCTCCTACAATTAAAACAAAAAGTCATCAATTGAAATACAAAATTATGGTGCAGTTAAAATATCTAAATTTATTTATTTGAAGTAAAAACAATTAATAAAAAAAAATTGATAATATTATTTCATTAAATTATACATGTATGTGACAATTTTTTTCAAGGTAATAAAATCATCAAACTCAAAATGTACAATATATATAAGATGTAGAATTGTGAAATATATGCAAATTGCATGACTACTGTTATATGGTTATAATGTCATAATACAAACCTTTATGTGGTTGTTGAATAGATTAAGATGTTCCAGATTTGCCAATTCTGTTATATTGGCTGGGACCTCTGAAATGACAATAGTAAATCTTGTACATAATGATGATGTGAAATCAAAATGTAAATTGTTCAATGAAAATCTTCAAGTTGCCATGATTGTGTTTTAAGTTGCAATGGTCATCATTAAAACACAATAAAAATTAATATTGCAGGAATTTCTCTTGGCCAATCAATTGATAAAGTACTGTAATTATAACCATTTATTCGTGTCAACTTTGTTTTCATGTGATTACACAAAATTGTCTGCTCACAAAAATTTTAATCTCACAGTATTTGTAATGTATTTAGAATTATATCACAATTGCCAAAGTCACGAAAATTTTGTCTCACTAATAATTATCAAATATTATCTTACATATATAAGGTGTCTAGAGAATATGTTGATTTGGAGTGTAAACTAAAAATTATATGTCTGTCAATAGTTTTTGGAGAAACTAATAAATATATATCAATCAAGTTTACTGATTCTCCATATATAAAGTCTCTCCTAAAGCTTGTTTATACATACCGCTGATTTTGTTGTGAGACAGTGTCAGTCTTGTCAGGTGCTTCAAGTCCACTGTAGAAAAATCAGAAAAAGCAACTGAGCAAGTACTGAAGTATTGCAATAACTTTTAAAACTTGCATGGATCAATAATATAACGCCAAGAAAAAGTTAAAATTATAATTTAATTGAGGTTGCATTTAAATATATCTTATCAAATTCTTTCCCTACTTTATGATAAGCACAGGGACTATTTGAAGAGAACAAGACACAGGGGACCCATGGTTTTACTTACATAGTCCTGGTATATTTAGACTCGCGACTCCTTTATCAACCAAGTCAAGTTCTGTGTTGTTTTGGTCTCCTCGACATTCATCAATATATTTCTTAACCTTGCTCGACATCTTTATTGAGCTCAAAAACACTTATTATTGTTGGAATTTACAGAATGCCAATTTAGGAAATATTTACTCCGGAAGTGCCTAACAACATACAAAATTCCTCTCATGCGCAAACAAAATAATTCCCAAAATATAACTGATATCCGAATTATATGATAAGTTTCTTTCAAAATTCATCTAAATATTTGAGAATCGATCATTATCGATTATCAACGTTTTCTGAAAATGTTAAAAAACGTGTCATCAATATTTGCGTAGGGATATTTAAAAATTATAAAGATGGCTGCGCCCATGATAAGAGGAAGCCCACATCAAGAAGCACTTGATTAAGTAATTTTCTTATCCCGTTTCTTTGTGTGATGACGTCTTTTGGGCAAATGTCAACATTAATTAAATAAAGGTCTTTCTCCATCTGATTAAATGTTACACCTGGTGCGATTTAAAATAATCATTATCCACAAAATTAAATCACTGTCATGGCACGAGAGACAACATGTGAAAGCTTTGTATGTTATGTATATGGCTCTGGCGGCACTGTAAAGCTACTGCCAAAGAAAGTGAGGTCCATGTAGGTGTAATATTGCTATCCATTTTGTTACACATCTGCAGGGTTGTCCTTAAAAATTAAAGTAGCAGGGGGAATAGAAAAGAGTAGAGTTCGTCTCCTAACAGAGGATGAGGAGGAATACCAAAGTAACTGGGGGATTAAATCATCATAGGCAGGGAAATTCCCTGGTTCTTAAGTTTTGTAGCAGCTAGGTGTACTTGAATGTGATGTATTACACAGTGTTTTCAAAAAGAGCCGGCAACCGGCAAAATTAACCGCCTGTGCGAGAAATTTTGCCGGCTATGAAATTTCTGTCATTAGGATTTAACCCCATTTTGCCGATGCTGATACGTGAAATCCATAGATTTTATCGCAACTCTTCCATGATGTAGAGTAGCTTCCCTTGAGTGCGCTCTTTTTTCAAGGAAGTTTGAATACATAGATAGTGTCAGGTAATGGCGTCACGGACAACAAATATTTGAGCGAAGTCGTGGAGAAACGTGCTGCTGCTGTAACACATTGTTTTAGATCACATATATGAAGAGGCATAACGAATGGTCCCTTCTGAAAAGATTTGTTTGTGTTTTATAATTTTCAATTGAAAATTGATTGTGCGGTAGCCTCAATATTAAATGAGGGGTTCCCTGGTGAAACAACAGTAAATAACTGTATCAAGGCCAAAATAATTTTAAGACCTTAATTAAGAAAAAATGTATCAATTCTTAAAGAATTTCCTCAAACTGAATATCTCAAATGTTAAGCTAAGACGTAATAATTACGAATAAAAGTCTTAATATTTTAATCATGACTCAGACATAGAAATTCTTACGAAATTTCCTCAAACTTAAAATGAAAAACTTTATTATTCTCATTTGTTCGTGTAGGATATCTTGAAATACAGGAACGGTATCATTTTCATATTTGGGAAGGTTTTAATGTACTAGTCTAGTATTTTGTATCAAATTCAATTTTCTTAATTATTTTGTTCTGACTATCTCAGCTTGTACAAAATGTTAAAAAAGTAAATCAGTTAAAAAATTAATTTATGAAAAGTCTAGGATATTTCAATTTTTGGGAGGTACTGTACATCACTAAGTGTTTAAAAAAAAAACTATTTAAATTTTCAACTAATTTTTTTTTTTAATCTTGAATTAAAGTCCTGACCAATTTATTGTAAAGGGACAAAATATGTAGAAATTTAAGCATGTTAAGTATAATATTCTACCACAGACATTGTCTGTACTAGAATTTCATACTTAAGTTGTCTCAATGTTTTTATAGACACTTAGTGTTCAGAAGAAAAAAACCTATTCTCAAAAATCTGTCTAACAAATCTGTAAAAAGATAAAAATTGTTTTCTAATTGGCTTTTTGGAGTACAATTGGATAATTGATAGTGACAGGAATGTGAAAAAAGTTACTTTTTAAATGGCCTGAGAGGCCTAGGGCGGCCCCCAGACCCCTCGCCGAGACTGGTTTCCTGCTATACCATCTATTTTTCCTTCTATTGAAAATCTTATTGAAAACACTGTGTACTGAATTAATGCACTATGAATTAATTGAAGCTTAATTGTTTTGGCTGGGCTAGCATACTGTTCAAGATCAGTGTAACTGCTAAAATCTCTGAGGTAGACCAGTAGAAACAATAGATTTTGAACAGTTCACGAGTTGCTGTAATTATAGCCGTCAAACTTGACTAGGAGAAGTACACATGGTATAGGGCACATAAACAAATGAATTGAAAAAGATGTTTTTTTTAAATACGCAAGTGACAAGTACATCTGTACATAATGTCTCTGATTTTTGAATCATTATTTTTCATTTTTCTTGTAGCATGGCTAAGATACAAGAATTGTTGACTCTGTCTGGTCACCAAGATCGAGTTTGGTGTGTGGCCTGGAATCCAGCGGGAACCTTGCTAGCATCCTGTGGTGGAGACAAAGCAATAAGGATATGGGGAAAAGAGGGGGACAGTTGGGTAATGTGCCTTGTTTTTAAACTCAAAGCTTGTAAACACAGATTTTTTTTGTATCTGATTTTTTAAAAAAAATTATACAGTAACTAGGACATTGAATATCTTCATATTTAGGTTTGTAAGAGTATTCTTGCAGAAGGACATCAGAGAACCATTCGTAATGTTGCTTGGTCTCCCTGTGGTAATTATCTAGCTAGTGCAAGTTTTGATGCTACCACCAATATCTGGAGCAGAAAAGAGGGAGAGTTTGAATGTATTGCGTCCCTTGAAGGTCATGAGAATGAGGTCAAAGCCGTATCTTGGGCACCAACAGGGTCATTACTGGCCACATGCAGCAGAGACAAAAGTGTTTGGATTTGGGAAGGTAATGGTTGATTTTTGCAAGGAATCAAATTTTATAATACAGTATATTAATTATGGTACACATAGATGTCTGATTTTTTTTTTGGCGAATCATTTAAAATGATTTTTTTATGCAGTGACAGAGGATGAGGAGTATGAATGTGCAAGTGTCATCACCAGTCACACCCAAGATGTTAAATATGTTGTATGGCATCCAACAAGAGAAATGCTTGCATCCTGTAGCTATGACAATACAATTAAAATGTTCAAAGAGGAGATAGATGACTGGTCCTGCTGTAACACACTGGAATCCCACACCTCCACTGTTTGGAAAATCAGCTTTGACCACACTGGTCATCGTTTGGTGTCATGTAGTGATGATAAAACATTAAAAATCTGGCAGGAATATTTACCAGGAAATCCAGAGGGAATAGACACAACGGGAAAAGAATCCACATGGAAATGTGTGTGTACATTATCGGGATACCATACTCGAGTGATTTATGATGTTAGCTGGTGTCACACGACTGGTTTGATCGTTTCAGCCTGTGCTGATGATAGTATTAGAATATTTAAAGAGGAAGACATATCTGACAAGAATCAACCCTCATTCAGTCTGGTCTGTTCTCAAAACAAGGCCCATTCTCAAGATGTTAATTCTGTGTCATGGAATCCCAAAGTTCAAGGACTCTTAGCCTCAGGCAGTGATGATGGTGATGTAAAATTGTGGAAAGTTATGCTTGATTAAATCTGATAAACAATGTTTGTTTTTAATTTTTCTTGATTAATTAGAGCAAATGTGAAAATGAGTTTTTCTTACCAAGGTATGAGCCACGTCATTACATGGATGTACATAATAACATATACATCTTTTGTAAATGTCTTATGTTGGTACACAGATATACTCCAAGGTATAAAACTTGAAGATTCTTATCCATGTTGTTGTTGGACCATTTTTCAAACCATCCAAATCTGCAACAGGCAACTTTTTCTTGATGGTGAAATTCATAATTGATGAGTTCAGCCAGGATTCAGACCATAGAGTGCATATTGAGTTAATTGAATAGTTATTAAAACATATCTCCTTATTTGAGTCTCTTGACATCAAGGGGGCAAAATAATGAGCCCTTTACCAGAACATCAAAATTCATGAATTCATAGATTCAGACCTTTAATTGTATTCGAGAAGAGTTTTAGCTCACCTGAGTTGATAGCTAGGACCTTTGAGAATAGGTTGAGCTTCCAAATGAGGATCAGTTTTACAAGTTGTAGGAAGAAATTATTTGAGATTACAGTGTAAAAGATCAAGATTCACATTATTCTTGATGTAAGACGTCGGTTCAATATCTTGATTTTGAGGATAAAGGTGCAAACTGGACATAGGAAGCATTGACTTCTCAATTTCTTGAGAATCCATGCTTGACAGACATACTTTTCTAGATCCTAAGAACTAGATGACCACTCTGGGAGTTTGAGATATCAGGGTCAAAGGTCAAGGATCAATCAACTCAATACATAGGAAGATAATAGTCTGTACAATATCTACCCGTAACTCTCAAAACCTGAGTAGATTACCACTGTAAATATCGAGGTCACAAGGTCAAAATTAAAGTAATAAAGACATCATCAGATGTCCACTCAATATCTTGATAAGCATCACAATTGGTTCCACTTGAGTGGTAGATGATCTGTATATCAATTTTAGGCTCAAAAGCAATGTCAAGTGTCAAACTGAACATTGCTGCTAACCATTCAATACTGAGACCCTTTGCTTTACAGGCATCAAAGTCAGTACAGTATATGCTAGTTTACCATAAGGAGTAGATGACCAGTGTAAATACTGAGGTCAAAGATCAAACTACTGTAAATGTATTGCATTTGGCTGTGTATTCTTTTTAGCACTTTTGGTGGAAAGAAACTTTTAATTTGCTAATTCAAGTACAACGCTAAATGCCTTGCGTATACACATGTATATACATAAATAAGAACATTAACAAATGCGCTAAATCAAATATACACCAACATCTTCAAAAAATCATTTTGTTTCTCCTCACCATCAGACTTTGGCATGTCATATCATTGCACTTCAGTGCAGTGTGTCCCATGTGGGATGTGGATACCAGTCCTTGGGTAAGACCATTATTACACAATTATGGACTTCAGTGTAGGTCGATATGTGGTTATAAGGACTCATGGCAATTGATATTGACCTCAGACACAGAAAATGATGGCGACCGAGCCTGGTCGCAGGCTCGGTCACTATCACTTTCTGTGTCTTTGGTCAATATCAATTGCCATGAGTCCTTATAACCACATATCGACCTACACTAAAGTCCATAATATTTATATTATATAATCGCTCAAAGTGAATGCACTGACACAGTCCTAACTAAACAGACTTTTGGCTGTCATTACGTCAAAATTGTTAAAAACACACTTCTTATATTATGACGCCATGTTCTACGCATCTTCAGTGCAACCGAACGCTGTGTCATGCGATATCATTTTTCGCCACGCGTCGATATCACAAAAAGAGGAATATCATGTGACGTCCTTTCAGCCAATGAAAATTACCAAAAATAAACTTCTATATATATAATATAAAACAAGATGCCATGTCAGAGAGAACATTATAAAATGAGGTGCCATGTTAGAATAGATACTAACACAAAAGAGATCCCTCACTGCTCCATGACCCCGAGTGCTCAGCTCTGAATTCTCAAGAACAAACAAAAAAAAACTTGCATTTTCCTCCCCATATTCTAAACTCTTTCAGCATAATTTGTGTCCTGTTTAAATTTTAATTAAAACCACAGAAAGAGATTCATGATCATTTTTATTGCTTTTCTTGCATTTTTTAAAATACAGAAAGTTTTGGCACAATTAAATTGTCTATTTGGACATAGGAAATAACATGTACATATCAAAATTTCAATAAACACATATAAAACAACAAATGACAAAACAAAATATGCATGAATGAAGATACAAACAATTCTGTAAATGAAATTCGATATGAAAGTAACATCTTTTGATGCTTAAATGGTTTAAGGTGATACAATGCATATTGTTCACATGAGTATCTATGACATTTTTTTTCCTTTCAAATCCGTAACTGTCAAAGAATATTTCTCTGCAAGTTTTAACTCTATGAGCAGATTTGCAAACTTCAAGTATAACACTTTCCTATTTACTTGACTAGAGTGTCCTAATGAATGTTACCGTATCTGAATCATTATTAGTAGAACTAGTGTCAACCGATTGCAACTCACATATTCATGTATAAGCAAGAAAAAATTTATAGAATCACTTATGAAACAGCAAAAAATAGGCCAGAAATCAACATTTAATAGGAAGCACTGATTCTTGGGTGATTCTTAAAGTCAAAATTTTTACAAAAAGACGTAAAATGATTTCTAAAAATGTAAAAAAAAAAAAATGTGGGTTTCAGAGGAAAGCTGTGAACGGTTTTTAGTGATATTTCAGACAACTATATGTAGTACACATTCAAGATTTTGTAATTATTACAGATGAATTAACATTAATTGCACAGAAAATATGCGTACATGATTCTGAACTGAGTTATAGGGCATTATGATCAAGACGTTGGAAATTTAACGCACTATCTCATCTCTTTACCATTGCTTTCATTTGGCATGTGACCCAAAAAATACAAAATGGACGAATGCAGGGTAATTAATATTTACATGTACATATGAAATGATATTCATAAAATCACTCGAGAAAGTACCTCTACTTTCCTTGGATATAGAAAGAAACTTAAAAATTTTAAAACAAGGTTTTAGAAATATGAACACATTTTCAAGTTTTTCTTTACCTGAGAACAGAGTAAAACTTATAAAAGCAAAATAAACAGAACCTGCAAGTTCAATTTAAATGATTTATACAACACTTATGAACTTGACAAAGATTTACTGATAAATCAATACTGCAGAAATCCCTTAACTTACTCATTATAATACACTAGCATGTGCAGTTAATCTTGTGAACTTGACATGAGATGATTTTAGGTGAGACATCTACACTGTACCTTCTCTATTACAGATACATTGGTTTGTATCTAATCGTACACATGACTGTCAGTAAAAAATGAACAAGGATTAAAGGACTTATGAATTATAATCTCTTCTACTATTTGAATGACTTCCTCTACTTTCCAATAGTTGCATGACTCTCTCTACAAATATTTCACAAACAAGATCCTTCCATTTTTTGAGCTTTGTACAATACATGAAGCTTGTACTGTAAATATCTATATTTTTACAAAAAAAATCTGTCATTTTTCCTATAAAATTGAAAACAAAGTTGTTTTGTAAATACTATATGTCATGTTCTTTTTCTACACAGCATACTTCCTAACTATATAGAGAAAAGGTAGATTTTTAAAATTCTTTGTTATTCTCTTGCCAATCTACGGATGGATTTTGCTGTACATGTATCACATTGAAGTTAGTCCTGTAATTATCCTGGGACTAGGACAAGGGACTCCTGACTAGAGACTCGACTGGACGTGTTGCTGCCCCTCCCGCTGGTGGTGCTAGATAGGGCGGTCGATTCCTGTGCTAGTCCCCGCTCAATCAAGGTACGAGCAATACTGATATCCTCCTCTCCCGATGTATCAAACAGCTCCACCCACGCACAACCACTCCAAGACCTTCAGACAAAATATTGCTGTTATTTTGGATATAACAAAAGAGAAATTGCAGTATAATGTTACGCACTAGTTATTTGTTTCTGTATGGAACCAGACAAGGTCAACAAACCTATGTATCTAAAGCCCCTTTCAAGTGCGCTGATTTTCTTTCCAGGTGCAAATTTTGCATGCGTCCAAAATATATCTGCACCCATGCAGGTAAATCAGTGCATGTGAAGGGGGCTTAAGTTACACACTCAGTCTGAATGAAATTCAATTCAAACAGTTGAACTTAATTATCTTGAACCTGATAGGACGAGAAACAAGAGGCCCATGGGCCTTATAAGTCACCTGAGTATCATGCGGCAACTTTCCAACAATTGACTCTGATTCATGTTTTAAACTAGAGGCCATGAAATTCACAATTTTGAAAGAGGCACCATTGCTTATCATAATTATATACTCAGCATGCTTATTTTGGTTACTTTTATACCCAGAGGTAGATCAGAATAACAAACAGAAAATACATTTCCACTTTTACTGAATTTCAGGGCACCTGGGTCAGGGCTTCTTGTGTTACGGCGGGTCCACAGTTGAGCTCCCCATCCCACAGGAACCACTGACCCTGGGGCCACATCTTTCAAAATTTTGGAATTCTTTTAAAATTTTATTTCATCATGCTGTTGATTAATACCAAAGTGCAGATTTCAAAGCATTAAATTATTTCAGACTATGTTACCCCCCTCCCCAGAGGTACCTCTGTCCCAGGGGCCAGGAAATTAACCATTTTTGGAGGAAGCAGGTTTTTTTGTCATAAATATATACTAAGATCATTGGCATTATACCCAATAACAAAGGAAAAGATTTTCAAAGAATTCATGCATTTTCATTTGAATTCATGTATTTTCACTATATAAACATTAGAGCCTGCCCTAATACATGAAGCCCTAACCCAGGGACCCTGAAATTCAAAAATCTCAAAGAGGCATCCTTCCTCCTCATAACTATGTACATAGTTCATTGGTTAAATACTCAGGTGCAGAAAAGAAGAGTTTTAAAGAATTTATGCATTTTCACTGTATAATCAATAAAGCCTCGCCCTAACACCAGAACCCCCAACCCAGGGGCCATGAAATTCACAATTTTGGAAGAGGTAGCCTTATTCAACATAACTATGTACTTGGTTAGTTTATTTAATACTCAGGAGCAAAGAAGACGATTTTCAAAGAAATAATTCATTTTTTACTAAATAATCTATATAGCCCTGCCCTAGGACTAGAACCCCTGACCTTGGGGCCATGAAATTCACAATTTTGGAAGAGGCAGTCTAATTCAACAAAGCTATCCACTTGGTTAGTTTATTTAATGCCCATGAACAGAGTAGAAGAATTTCAAAGAATTTATGCATTTTCAGTATATAATATATACATCCCCGCTCTAGCACTAGAACCCCTGACCCTAGGGCCATGAAATTCACAATTTTGGAAAAGGCAGTCATTTTCAACTTACCTATGCACTTGGTTAGTTTATTTAATGCCCACAAACAGAAAAGAAGAATTTCAAAGAAATAATGCATTTTCACTATATAACCTGTTTAGCCCAACCCTAGCACTAGAACCCCTGACCCTGGGGCCATAAATTTCACAATTTTGGTAGAGGACTCAATGCTGATTACAATCATACCAACAGTTTGACTGCTTGATGTCCAGGAGTAAAGAAGAAGTTTTTAAAGATTGCACTAATTTTAGTGGTTTTTGCCCCACCCCCAGGTGGGCAGGGACCATGAAATTCACAATTTTTGTTCCCCTTCACCCATAACGACGCACAACGACGGACGAAAACAGATAACAATAGGTCACCTGAGTTTACTCAGGTGACCTAAAAAAAAATCTGAGAAATCCGAGGATTCAAAATATCAGTATAGATAAAATACTGGGGCTCTCACATCACTGACATATTTATGATATTCGAGGTATAGGAGTTTGAAGATACTGAAGTTTCAAGTTTACTAAACCATTATCCAGTACAAACCTTGACTTGATGTAGGCAACCAAGGTTTTCCCATCCACTAGTTTTCTGAACTCCATTCTAAAAATAAGGATACAAATATTGTTCACATTTTACCAAAAATTTAACAACACTTGTACTAACAATTCATTAACAATAAAACATTAACAATTTTTAAGAGTTTTTTTTCTTTTTCAAGCCAAGCTCTGTGTACCCCAGTACACACAAATGGCCTCCTGAGTAAATCTACAAAAAGAAATAAACATACCTGGCCTCCTGACTAAATCTGTCTGTTCCTCCTACAGGTTCTATGTCCACTAGGAAACACTCCAGAGCCTGGAGGGGTAGGTGGAGGAACTGGGGGTCTATATTACGGACCGATTTATCAGACACAACCTCCTTGTTCCCAAAGTCCACATAAAACACCTGTGTGTCAAAATGATTGTAATTCAATACTTTCTGTTCTGCTCAGAAATGTATTTTGAAAAAAAAGATTCTGTACTGTTAAGTCTGAGTGAAGCATGGACTCAAAATTTGCACATAAAAATCTCTTTTTTGATATTAAATTGTTAAAATCATATTTCCAATTCTTAAAGATTTTATCTAGAAATAATGGGGATTTTACATTTTTATTATAAATACTTCATATTAGAACATTTTATGCATTTAAACTAAAAAGAGACCAAATGTTTTATATTTTGTTTAAAAAGAGATAAAAAACTCTTATGTTGGACAAAACTATAGCATGATGGATTTCAGTCCCAAAACCAAAATCAACTGGATGCCTCTTTGCCTTTATATTAGGCTACATAAAATTACAATTCTGGTTCTCAGGCCCACGCGCATACGTTTTGGGGTAGCCGCATTGCTAATTTAATTGAATTTTTGATAAAATAAAAAGTTGGTATTGCGGAGACCAATTCGGAAAAAAAAGATTCTGTCCTCATTTTTTTCGTTGTTTAGTATTCAATTATCACTTCCGGTAGCAATTTGCAATGAGATTTTGGCTACTTCGTTTGAAAATACATTCAAAGACATTGCCTATGATGTTCACACACTGATAAGCAATGGATAAAGCAGAAATTTTTATCAGACATGGAAAGTATATCTGTGATTAAACAAGAGGCCCAAGGGCCTTGAATCGCTCTTCTGATAAATTGTACAACCTATCACTTGTATTTGAAGCCTCTAACCCTAAAGTATCCTAAGACCCAAGTTGCATCACCTGACAAAATTTGATGATTCTTAGCCAATTAGGACTACTTTTTGGTCTACATTCTTGGAAAATCCAAAATGCATCAACTGACGAAGTTTGATTATTCTAAGCCAATAAATACCTAAGATACTTAAATATAGCCATATAATGTCGAAAGTAGGTCATCATGACCTACATTTTAGTCGACATTTTTCAGAGTCCCAAGATGCATCTGCTGACTAAGTTTGAAATTTCTAAGCCAATAAATACCTGAGATATTCAAAAGTAGGTCACTGTGACCTACTTTGTGGTTGACATTCTCCAAAAACCCAAGATGCATCAACTGACAAAGTATGATGATTCTAAACCCATAAGTCCCGGTAAATACTTAAAAATAGCCATAAAATTTGAAAGAAGGGCATTGTGACCTACATTTTGGTTGACATTTTTTAGAGTCCCAAGATGCATCTGCTCACCAAGTTTGATAATTCTATGCCAATAAATATCTGAGATATTCAAAAGTAGGTCACTGTGACCTAATTTTTGGTCGACATTCTCCGAAAACCTAAGATGCATCAACTGACAAAGTATGATGATTCTAAACGGATAAGTACTAGAGATACATAAATATAACCATAAAATGTTAAAAGTAAGTCACTGTGACCTACTTTTTGGTCGACATTCTCGGAAAACCCAAGATGCATCAACTGACAAAGTTTGATGATTCTAAGCCAATAAGTACCAGAGATACTTAAATATAGCCATAAAATGTGGAAAGTAGGTCACCGTGACCTACATTTTGGTTGACATTTTTTAGAGTCCCAAGATGCATCTGCTCACCAAGTTTGATAATTCTAAGCCAATAAATATCTGAGATATTCAAAAGTAGGTCACCGTGACCTACTTTTTGGTCGACATTTTCCGAAAACCCAAGATGCATCAACTGACAAAGTATGATAATTCTAAACCAATAAGTACCAGATATGTAAATATAGCCATAAAATGTCAAAAGTAGGTCACTGTGACCTACTTTGTGGTCGACATTCTCCAAAAACCCAAGATGCATCAACTGACAAAGTTAAATGATTCTAAGCCAATAAGTACCTGAGATACTTAATAATAGCAATAAAAAGTCGAAAGTAGGTCACATGACCTAATTTTTGGTTGTCACTCTCCAAAAACCCAAGATGCATCAACTCACAAAGTTTGATGATTCTAAGCCAATAAATACCTAAGATACTTAAATATAGCCATAAAATGTCGAAAGTAGGTCACCGTGACCTACATTTTGGCCGACATTTTTCAGAGTCTCAAGATGCATCTCCTGACCAAGTTTGATCATCGTAGGTCTGAAGGTACCGTAATTTACGGAATATAGGTCGATACTTTTTTTCTCAGAACCGCTGGGGTCGCCCAATATACAGAATTCGACCTATTTAAGGCTCAAGTTTACGAAAAATGCCCCCTAATCAGTAAAATTTACTTCAATTTCAAAGCAAATTTGTGCCACTTTCGTAACTTTTTTGATTATTTTTCGCAAAAAAATTAATGCCCCGGTAAACAATAAATTATTTATTCTATAGCTTTCTTACAAAATAAATTCCATTAATTATCCGTTGATGACAAAGGAAAACAACATTGCTTCATCTATTAAATAATTCCTCAACGTATTGTCCATTAACATCAAGCGGTATCCATCTTGTGAAGTTAGGAAGTCGCGATCGTGTGCTAAAAGTAAAACCGCAACCGTATCAAAATTTAAAATATGGAAATTTTTCACGATCACAACTGTAGTGTTTTTACCATTTATTAGTAGCAATAAATTGAAATAGTATATTAAATATTTTTTATTGTCTTATGTTTATTTAAATGTAAAATGAGTGAAATAATTTGTTGCCATTCAATTCCTAAATTTAATCACCAAAAAAAAAAAGACGCTAGTCATTACTGTTTTTTTTATTTTATTTAATTGTAATACCGGTCAAACGAAGTTATTTTGAATATACCGATACAAAGATTGGCTTCTAACAGAATTTTTAACTGTCTGACAGATAAAGGGATTTACACTGTGTACGCAAAGGTGTTATAACACCTGTGTATAGTTTAAATGCCTGCGGGGCATGGTTAAGAAACCCGCGTGCCATTATATGGTATTAGTGTTACACATCATTGAACAAACAAAGCCGTGAAATTCATGTTGACAGTCAAATTGTGAATGTACTCTCAATTAAATTTATAAATTAAACTATAGAGTGTTAATATGATTTCAATTCTTTACTGTTGCTTGATATATACATTCAATGGTCATTTGCGTGTTTTAGCAAATCCCTTGAGAAGAAAAATAAAAATGGCGGACATCGAAGTAATTGTCGTCCACCGGTAAATAATGTCTAAATAAAATTTATTAGAAATGTGTCCAAGTTGTTCTGAAATCGGAATTACTATTCTTTGGTCTCGGGTATTTCCCGAACTATAGCTGTAAAATAATAACTTATTTACGTGTTATTTATGCATCTGATTTAACAACAGTGTGAAAATACGGCGGCATTGAACAGGCAAGTTGGAGAAAAATAAGAAGTAACACAATTCAAAGAAGTTTTAACTACATTTTTTAAAAAACTTTATTTAAATGCTGTACTCATTAAAATACCTGTTTATTTTCTTGATACGTTCATGTCACGGAATAACCCCGGTAATTTTAGGGGTTTACCTGTTCTGATATGTTGTATCTGCGTAAGAATCTTTAGAAAACGGGAAACAAAGCCTCGTCCTATATAGTAAGTTCGTCCTATCTTAGGATTTTTCAAAAATTAAGGCTGAAAATGAGCCTTTCGACCTATATACCCCATCGACCTATAATCCCGAAATTACGGTAATCAAAATATGCCTTTTTAACAATTTGAAAACAAATGCCTGCAAAATTCTTAAAGTAGGTCACAATGACCTACTTTTTCTTAAATATGTTTTAAGGTCCGAAGATGCAGCAAATTACAAGATTTGATGATTCTAACCCTTTCAGTGCCTTAAATAATAGGATTAAATGTTTTAAAAAGGATGAGTCATAAAAGTTCAAAAAGTAGGTCACGGTGACCTACTTTCAAGTTGACGTTGTTCAAGGACCCAAGATGCATCAATTGACTAAGTTTGATGATCATAGGCCTTAAAGTGTTCAAAATATGCCTTCAAATCAATTTGAAAACAAATGCCCGCAAAATTAACAAGAGGCCCAGGGGCCACATCGCTCACCTGAGCAATTGGCTAGGAAAAAACACAGATCAGATCAGAACTGAAAGTAAACTGGGGGGGGGGGGGGGGACTTGAATTTAACACACCCCAAGGGGGTCATGATTTGAAAAAAAACTTGAATCTACACTACCTGAGGATGATTCCCTATAAATATAACGAAGCCTGGCTTTGAAGTACTTGAAAAGAAGATTTTAAAAGGTTTCCCTATATGTTCCTATGTAAAACTTTGATCCGCCATTTTGGCCCCACCCTACCCCCGGGGGTCATGACTTGAACAAACTTGAATCTACACTACCTGAGGATGATTCCACATGAGTTTAATCTTTCCTGGCCCAGTGGTACTTGAGAAGAAGATTTTTAAAGATTTTTCCTATATATTCCTATGTAAAACTTTGATCGGCCATTTTGGCCCCACCCTACCCCCAGGGGTCATGATTTGAACAAACTTGAATCTACACTACCTGAGGATGATTCCACATGAGTTTCATCTTTCCTGGCCCAGTGGTTATTGAGAAGAAGATTTTTAAAGATTTTTCTTATATATTCCTATGTAAAACTTTGATCGGCCATTTTGGCCCCACCCTACCCCCGGGGTCATGATTTGAACAAACTTGAATCTACACTACCTGAAGATGATCCCAAATGAGTTTCATCTTTCCTGGCCCAGTGGTTATTGAGAAGAAGATTTTTAAAGATTTTTCCTATATATTCCTATGTAAAACTTTGATCGGCCATTTTGGCCCCACCCTACCCCCTAGGGGGTCATGATTTGAACAAACTTGAATCTACACTACCTGAGGATGATCCCACATGAGTTTCATCTTTCCTGGCCCAGTGGTTCTTGAGAAGAAGATTTTTAAAGATTTTTCTTATATATTTCTATGTAAAACTTTGATCGGCCATTTTGGCCCCACCCTAACCCCGGGGGTCATGATTTGATCAAACTTGAATCTACACTACCTGAGGATGATTCCACATGAGTTTCATCTTTCCTGGCCCAGTGGTTCTTGAGAAGAAGATTTTTTAAAAACGCTATTAATTTTTCTCTAATTCATAATTATCTCCCCTTGGAAAAGGGCCTGGCCCTTCATTTGAACAAACTTGAATCCCCTTCACCCAAGGATACTTTGTACCAAGTTTGGTTGAAATCGGCCCAGTGGTTCTTGAGAAGAAGATGAAAATGTGAAAAGTTTACGACAACGACGACGACGACAACGACAGACGACAGACAAATTTTGATCAGAATAGCTCACTTGAGCCTTCGGCTCAGGTGAGCTAAAAAAGTAGGTCACCGTGACCTACTTTTGAGTTAACATGATGTGAAGTCCTAAGATGCATCAACTTACAAGATTTGATGATCCTAGTCCTTATAGTAAGCAAAATATAAACATTTTTATTAATTGTAAATTTAGGTCAACTTTAAAGTGACCTTGAGACCACGCCCTTTGCCCCAGGGTCATGCTTTGAACAATTTTTAATCTTCAACATATCCTGATCCTTGTATGTAAGTTTGGTGAAAATCTGCCTGGTGGTTCTGGAGAAGAAGATTTTTTAGCAACCAGTACTTTTGGTTTTGTTTTCCTGATTATCTCCCCTTGTTTTAGGGTCCCACCCCTTATTTTAGTATAAATGGTAGCCCTTGGGCCAAGGATACCCTGTGACAAATTTGACACTGATTGGCCAAGGGGTTCTTGAGTTATGGCCCATATTCTAAAAAGTTAACGCACACCGCACAAATGGCCATAGCATTAGCTCTTTGAGCCTTTGGCTCAGAAGAGCTAAAAAGTATCTTTATAATAAAGAAAATTCAAAATTAAAAAAATACCTCCCTCATGTACTTTATTGCCAATAAAATGATAAATAAAATGCCGCCTTCCCGCATCTGTTTTGGAGAAAATTGGCCTGAGAACCAGAGAATTAAATTTAGATAGCCTTAGTTCATGACATTTTATAAGATGTTAAGGAATTAAGATGATGTTTATTACTAGATCTGACCTCCACTTTCCTGTCCCCCGAGCTGATGACACGAGCCCTGTACCACTGTAGATCTACACTATAACGGGCCACCACCATTTCTCCTGGAGCGTAATCTACATAACTCCCCTCAAACTGCTTCCCTCCATAGAACTCCCTATCAATTAAAGGAAGCATTTAAAGCAAAGATACAATGGTTTAGGATTTTAATCATGTCTACTGCAGGAATGAAAGATTGAAATTTATAGGGAAATACATGCTTGGATGAAAAACATTCCTCATAAAATACATAACTTTTATTAATTAACCAGTTTTCCCTGCATGTCTGCAATGAAGGAATTCATATTTTATGGTGCTTATTTTACCTTATTTATATTTTTGCCCATTATCACATAATTAGTTGCATGTCTGTGAACTACACTTAAATCACTTACTGTAAACTTGCCATCAGGTCTTCCAATGTCTCCTGTTGAAAACTGCTGTAACCCTCTATACATGAAAAGGAGAACCACAAATCACAATATGTACATTGCCATATTATCTTCATGCAAATAAATGTTGTTACTGGGTCTCAAAGGTATATATTTATATGTTTTTTAAGACTGAATTGATGTTAACTTCAACAAGAAGTCTGTGAGCCTATACATGAGCTCAGCTACAGATAGACACAGGGATAAATGGGAAGATGACATAAGATTCATACAAAAAAGAATCTCACCAAATGGCATGCCTAAACGAGTGCTAAAATTTCATGCACCATAAATGAGATGTTAATTAGAAAACGGTGACAAAAATTTGTATGTGTGGTACAGACAGGTGCACAGATTAACAGGAAGTTGACGTCACATTCATATAAATTTTAATCTCTCTTTATGACATGCCTCAACAATGAGTGTGTTAATATTTCAAGTATCTGCAAAGAGTAGTTACTAATAAAACTGAGAAAAAATTGTTATGTATGGTACAGACAGATGCCTTGATAAATAAGAAGTTGACAAATGATTAAAGCAAAAATAAATCCCATCATATGACATGCCTAGACAAAGAGTTTGCTAAAATTTCAAGTATCTGCAATGAGTAGTTGCTGAGAAAACTGCAATGAAAAATTCATTACAGACAGACAACATACAAAGGTAAAACAGTATACCCTCCTCTCCTTCTGAGCAGGGGTATTAAAAGAAAAATGTTATTCTTCTGGACTTCATATTCTTATTTCAAGCTTTGTTCCCCTATTTATGGCAAAAACCTAGTCGTGAGGCCATGATTTGATCAATCCTGAATTCACCTTATAGGAGGATGCTTAAATACATGTATTATGATTTATTATGATGATGAAAATATCTTTGAAACTTAGCTAATCACAAATTTTGGAAAAGTGATGTCAAGGTGAAGAAAATTTTGAAATTTGAATAGCTCTTATCCATATGTATCAGGATATGAAGTTGAAGCAATTCCTGAGCAGAATTACATGTACAGTCTGTACATGTACACTTCTTTATATTCTTGAGAGACCTTAATTCAGCTGACGTTTGAATTAAATACAAGAGATGTTTGTAAAACACTTATGCCCCCCTCCCCCCCAAAATGGAATTTCTCAAAGTCCAAGAGGGCACAACTCTGTCAAAAATGGCAAGATCGTACCCAAAACAGAACTTGACATGGCTAGTCATCTGATAAATCTGTATACTAAATTTCATTTCAGTATGTGCAACCTCTATGAAGAAAATGAATGGAAGAAAAAAGTCACGTGACAGGGCGAAGGAAAGCAGTGGCCTCCCTCGCTCCGTATTTTTTGACAAATTTTTGCTGTTTTCAAAGACTCTTTGACTCCAAAAATCACAGAACGATTTCGCCATCGCCTAGTTGTCGTATAGGACACTTCTCTGTGCAGAAATCGATTTGCATAATTGTGATTGTTTGGGATCTTTCTTTGTAAACGGTTCGGCTGATCGGTGAGTACGTGTTCACCTGTGTTTACTTGTTATTTACCTGTCGATTATAAACTGTCAATCATATGTCCTAAACTTCGGAAAAAAACCTCTAGCCTCAAGATGGAAGCATTATCTAAATCTGTCTATCTAAAAAATAGTGAAATTCAAACGAACAGAAACAAAAGAATATCTGATTTTGAGCTTATGCAATGTGTGATTCGCTCCGTCGGAGACACGGTACGATGCATACAGCTCAACCGTGACCTCTGGCGAATATATTTGATCGATGATGAAAGCAAACAAACATTGCTGGAGCAAGGGGTTGACATCAATAATCAAAACTTCAATGTCTATAACCATAATCCTTACACAACAGGCTCAAAATCCCCTGCAGATAGAGTTCTCAAAGTCACTGTGTCTGGCGTGCCTCTCTCTGTAGATGACAACGAAATTCTGGCAATGCTTAATAAACTAGGTGTAAACCTAAAAAGCGATCTACAATATGAAAAAATAAGAAATCCCGTGACCAAAAAAATGACCGGAGTGTTGAATGGCAATAGATATATATACATAGAGCCTCTCGCAGAAAACAAATTCCTACCCCGCACGAGCTACTGCGCAGGAATCCAGTGCCGCATCTATCACTTTGGTCAACCAAAACCACCGAAAAGAAAGTGTAGCATTTGTTGGAGTTCGGATCACTCCACCAATCAATGCACGGAGGATTCCAAATGTAAAGTGTGTCTTCAGCAGGGACATTGCCCTGGTGATGAGCAATGTCCGAACTTCACAAAAAAATGTCCGAATAACTGCATTCTCTTTCATGGTGAAGAAAACGTATTATCTAATTTCTATCCGTGTCAACTCTCTGTCTTTGGCGAACAATTTGATTCTGCGGAACAAGCCTTCCAGTGTGTCAAAGCTATCCGATCCGGAGATCTGATGGCTGCAGATAAAATCCGAGCTGCGGAGTCGGCACTTGAGGCCAAACGAATTGGCAACCTAATCACGACATCCGACACCTGGATTTCCACACAGGTGGAAGTAATGGAGGAAATAATTACAAAAAAATCGGAACAAGTAGAGGACTTCCGTGACTCTCTCGAAAATTCACTCAAAAATGTCGTCTTTGCCGAAACAACTTATGACGATTTTTGGGCCACAGGTCTCAATTTTAACCAATCCAAGCGTTCAAAACCCACAGCATGGCCAGGCAAAAATGTTCTGGGACAGATTCTTGGACGCATAGCCACGGAAATAAAGAACAAGAGGCCCATGGGCCACATCGCTCACCTGAGCACCAAGGGTAGGTAGGACTAGTATAAAATGGCTTTTTATTGTAAAGTTTAAATCCAAAAGTAGTCCCATGACCAATCATGGATTTGCTATTTTTTAGAAAATGATTGAGAAGAAGATTTTTAAAGAATTTTCCTATATATTTCTATGTAAAACTTTGGTCGGCCATTTTGGCCCCGCCCTACCCCCGGGGGTCATGATTTGAACAAAATTGAATCTACACTACCTGAACATGCTTCCATATAAATATGATGAATAATGGCTTTGTCATTCTTGAGAAGAAGATTTTAAAGAATTTTCCTATATATCTCTATGTAAAACCTTGGTCGGCCATTTTGGCCCCGCCCTACCCCGGGGGTCATGATTTGAACAAACTTGAATCTACACTACCTGAGCATGTTTCCATATAAATATGATGAATTATGGCTTTGTCATTCTTGAGAAGAAGATTTTTAAAGAATTTTCCTATATATTTCTATGTAAAACTTTGGTCGGCCATTTTGGCCCCGCCCTTACCCAGGGGTCATGATTTGAACAAACTTGAATCTACACTACATGAGCATGCTCCCATATAAATATGATGAATTATGGCTTTGTCATTCTTGAGAAGAAGATTTTTAAAGAATTTTCCTATATATTTCTATGTAAAACATTGGTCGGCCATTTTGGCCCCGCCCTACCCCCGGGGGTCATGATTTGAACAAACTTTAATCTACACTACATGAGCATGCTTCCATATAAATATGATGAATTATGGCTTTGTCATTCTTGAGAAGAAGATTTTTAAAGAATTTTCCTATATATTTCTATGTAAAACTTTGGTCGGCCATTTTGGCCCCGCCCTACCCCCGGGGGTCATGATTTGAACAAACTTGAATCTACACTACCTGAGCATGTTTCCATATAAATATGATGAATTATGGCTTTGTCATTCTTGAGAAGAAGATTTTTAAAGAATTTTCCTATATATTTCTATGTAAAACTTTGGTCGGCCATTTTGGCCCCGCCCTTACCCAGGGGTCATGATTTGAACAAACTTGAATCTACACTACCTGAGCATGTTTCCATATAAATATGATGAATTATGGCTTTGTCATTCTTGAGAAGAAGATTTTTAAGAATTTTCCTATATATTTCTATGTAAAACTTTGGTCGGCCATTTTGGCCCCGCCCTACCCCCGGGGGTCATGATTTGAACAAATTTGAATCTACACTACCTGAGGATGTTTCCCCATAAGTTTCATCTTTCCTGGCACAGTGGTTCTTGAGAAGAAGATTTTTAAAATATACCACTAAATTTTCATTAATTCCCAATTATCTCCCCTTGAATAAGGGCGTGGCCCTTCATTTGAACAAACTTGAATCCCCTTCACCCAAGGATACTTTGTGGCAAGTTTGGTTGAAATTGGCCCAGCGGTTCTTGAGAAGAAGTCGAAAATGTGAAAAGTTTACAGACAGACGGACAGACGGACAGACAGACAGACGGACGCCGGACAAAATGTGATCAGAAAAGCTCACTTGAGCCTTCGGCTAAGGTGAGCTAAAAAACCGAAAAACAGGGCCAGATCAGGGCTACCTCGCCAGGATTCGTATAATAAGTAACAATTCTTATCTATGCATGCTTATACGTTTAATTATGCACAAGCATTATCTCTTTATCTGCTTTTTTTAATATGGAATACATAAAGTGTATTACCCTCAATGTTAGAGGGTTAAACGTTATGATAAGAGAAATACATTGTATCAATGGTTTTATGACAACAATATAGATATTATTTTTCTAAAGAGATGCACTTTTGTGAAAAAAATAATTTTAAATACAATTCAAGGTGGTATGGCACATCCTTACATTCAAATACAGATTCTGCACATAGCAGAGGAGTATCTATTCTTTTTCATAAGAAATTTAACTTTGAAATAGTAAATGTGCATAGATCTTTAGATGGCCGTAAAATTTTGGTTAATCTAAAAGTAAATGACTCAATCATTACCCTCGTAAATGTTTATGCACCAAACGATGAAAAAAGTAGAATAGATTTTTTCAAAAAATTAAAAACGTGGATTTATAGATTAGCAATGAATGAAAATAACATAATGCTTGCAGGAGATTTTAATACAGTACTTAAAAAACAGGACAGACATAATACACAATCAACAAATAATGATAAAAGCTCAAAACAGCTAGAAGATATGCTTACTTACTTAAATTTAATTGATACATGGAAGACAAAAAATAAAGAAAAGCAAGGATTCACTTGGTGT